CTCATTATAACAATTCCAATTTATAATACAATTAATAATACCAATAGTTCAAATACCAAATTATATAACTGAGATAAGGTGGCCCCCACATGCTAGAAGTGATGGCTTGATTATTTGCTTTATTTCTCCGTTCCAAAATCTTATTAATTTCCATTACATTCTGGTCATAATAATAATCAACAACAACTGCAATATTAATAACTTCTATTCATGTTGACACATTAAATGATTTATAAAACTACAAGTGAGGAACTCAAACTGTATCCTTGTTCTTCCTGTGTCAGGCAATTATTCTGTCCATGGTGTTTCTTCCTGCCCTTGTAAGATGTTATGTCTTTCTTTCCCCCCGGTTGTTGCTGTTATCCATCATGCCTCGGGTGAAGCTGATATCCCATTGTTGTTTCAGAAATTTCTCCATTGCTCCGTCCCATGCTTCATTGTTTTAAAACTCTAACAACAGCTGCAAAAATCACTTTGTCCCAATAAACACAGTGGAACCTCTGGTTAAGAACTTAATTCATTCTGGAGGTCCATTCTTAACCTGAAACTGTTCTTAGCCTGAGGTACCACTTTAGCTAATGGGGCCTCCAGCTGCTGCCACGCTATTTCTGTTCTCATCCTGAAGCAAAGTTCTTAACCCAAAGTACTACTTCCAGGTTAGCAGAGTCTGTAACTGGAAGCATCTGTAACCTGAGGTACCACTGTGACCTGTTTTCACTATTTTCCCTCTCAGCCTGGGAAGAAGAGTGGTCTGTCGAACTGCAGATAGATCAGTGGTTCCCAAGCGGGCAGTTCTGCCCCTGGGAAGTGATGGGTTTGCCACTGAGTTAGTTTGCTTCCGCAACCACTCGGGACACTTCTGATTTCTCCTTCCCCTCTTCATCTCCAGTAACACTTCCTACACTGTTCTGGAGCCTCCACCAACTCTCCATAGCAGATTTTCAAGCACCATTGCAGGGGGTTGGACCAATGACCCTCAGGGTAAATTCCAACCCTACAATTCTATGTCTCCTCCCCTGCTTGATTGGTGGGATCTCTCCATGGATCACAAGCCTTCCACAGGCTGAAGGTGCCCTCTCATTCCAGGGAGCAAAGTCTGGATTCAATATAATAGAGAATCCTTTTAACCTGGGTTGCCTCTGATCCCGTCAGACTTTGCAACAGTTTTAATACACTATGTATGTGACTGGATACTGCTACAGTCAAACAGATATGATGCGTAAGAGTTTGGTATCTTCTGAAGGACACCAGAATGGGCAACAACTGTGTTATACCAGTAAATAACCGCTGAACAGAAGCAATAAGGCAGCAGTTTCTCTAAGGGATAAGAGAACAAAGCAAAATTAGGGTTGCCATATTTTGAAGAGCAAAAAAGAAGACACATTTGCTAACTTCTACTTTTAACTATGGATCTCTGTGACGACTCTCATTATGAAAACTAGGACTTCTCCTGGATACAGAGGACATATGGCAACCCTACAGTAACTGATGAGAAACTTCCAACAACACTGTGAAGGAGCGTAAACAACTAATATTTACCAACCTACTTGAATTTGCATCATCTGTATTGCTCTGGAAAATGTCCCACTGACTAAGCGGTATAATTCAAGAGGGATCGAAGCCCAGTTAGCCATTGTCATAAGAGACTCTAGGGCCCTGATTCTCAATTTTCAGGTGTTCTTTCTTATACCTGTAGATTGCCCTGGCAAAGTGGTTCTGAAGTAAAAGACAGGCTTAGAATGAGAAAGCGGGTAGGAGGGAGAGCCAAGACAGACAGAGTCAAAGACAGATAGAGAAAGACAGAGGCACAGATAGATATTGTCACGGGAAAGTCAAATTATGTCTCTCGTTGGCAATTGATACCATTTTTCTAATTAATAACAGGGAACATTTCAGCAGATGCTCTTAGAGAAAAAAAGAAAGCATTGTAATGAACCAACATAGGTCCATTAATGTCAGCAGGTCTTCCCTGAGTAAAACGTAGCTAGATTCAACCCAGTATTTCCCCAGCTCTTTCATCCCATCTCATGCTGCCTTGCTACAACTCACTAAATTGCCAAGGGTGGACTTTCCTTTACACTCCATGGGGGAACATTCTGGCTCCTGTGACTAGATAGATAGGAATGACTTTTATCACTTCGTATGTGATTTTTGTACTTTGCCTAGCAAGAGCGGGACCTTCCCAGCAAAGGACAAAAGAGAGGTGTGGCCATTGACACAGAGATGCTTAACAGGGGCAGCTGGAATTAAACACAGCAAGGGGAGGACTAGTGTGTCTAGAGCAAGAGAGGATCAAATGCCATCCTTGTTCAACTTGTGTGCCATGAACTGCTGAGACTTGAAAAGAAGAACTTCCCCCAACAAGGTGAGGCAGATGTTCACACTGTGAGCTGCCATTCACAGGCACTGCTCTGTAGCTGATCAAGGTCTCACCTACCGATAGAGAGAAGGACCTTGTTCTTTTACCTAGGTGGCCACCCCAGCTTGGTAGAAGTTATCAAGAGAAGCAGGGCAGCTAGGGCTGAAGTCCATGGCCCCACACATCAGCCCCCAGCCCCAAATATCCACCCAGCTGGCATATTTGCAGCAGACCTTGGCCACCGCTGAAGTGCAGCAGCAATGAGGTCAGGGCTGCCCATGAAACAGTAGAGCATGCCCTCCAGCGTTTCTCTGATGAAAAATAACAATCACAACAATAACAATACAGTGGTATCTCAGGTTAAGAACTTAATTGGTTCCGGAGGTCCATTCTTAACCTGAAGCACCACTTTAGCTAATGGGGCCTCCTGCTGCTGCCGTGCCGCCGGAGCACAATTTCTGTTCTCATCCTGAAGCAAAGTTCTTAACCCGAGGTACTATTTCTGGGTTAGCAGAGTCTGTAACCTGAAGCGTATGTAACCCGAAGCGTTTGTAACCCGAGGTACCACTGTAATATTCATACCCTACCCATCTGACTGGGTCGCCCCATCCACTGCGGGCGGCTTCCAACACATGTGAAAACACAATAAAACATTGAACAGGGCTGCCTTCAGACGTCTTCTAAAGAATGTATAGTTACTTACAGTGGTGCCTCGCAAGACGAAATTAATTTGTTCTGCGAGTTTTTTCGTCTAGCGAATTTTTCTTCTTGCGAAGCACGAAATTCCATAGGAATGCATTTAAATTCAATTAATGCGTTCCTATGGTCAAAAAAAGTCCAAACAAAGCCAAATTTGGTACAACAAGAGTTTATTAAGTGCTCTTTAAAGTCACACATACTGTAAAGAGCATTTCAAAAATTGAAGGAACAATAAATTAAGTTTCTAAACATGACAGAAAAACATTTAAAAATCAACAAAGTGTACAGTACATTTTCTAAGACTCTGGGGGACAACTCGAAGAAGGTTCCTCTTCCACTCTTTGCTTCTTGCTGAAGAACCTGTCCATGGTCTGCTGCTTCATCCGCCTTTTCAGCACCTCCCTGAAAGGCGACATGACCCTCGTATCAAAAGTGTTCACAAGGTCATGTGCCACATGCTTGTCAGGGTGGTGCCGCTGTGCAAAAGCCTGCACATCCTTCCACTTCAGGCAAATGTCCCTCAGTTCTTTGGAGGACAGCCGTTCCTCAGTTGCTTCCTCCTCTTCCAGCGAGGCCTGCTCCTGCGCAGCCTCTGCCTACAGTTCAACCAGCTCCTGGGTGGTCAGCTCGTGGTCGTGCTCCTCCACCAGCTCGCTGATGTCCTCCTCTGTGACCTCCAGGCCCATGGTCCTCCCCAAGGCAACAATGTCCTGCACCACTGTTGACTCTGGTGCATCAGAGTCACTTGGTGCCACACAGTCCGGCCACAGGCTGCGCCAAGCGCAATTCAAATTTCTCTGGCTGATCCCGTTCCAGGCCGTGGTGATCATCTTCAAGCAGGTGACGATGTCGAAGTGGTCCTTCCAGAATTCCCGCAGGGTGATGGTGGTGCAATCAGTCACCTCGAAGCATCGCCTGAAAAGCTCCTTGGTGTAGAGTTTTTTGAAATTGGCGATGACCTGCTGATCCATCGGCTGGAGCAGTGGCGTGGTGTTAGGCGGCAGGAACATGATGCTGATGAAGCTGAACTCCTCCAACAAGTCCTCCTCAAGGCCTTTAGGATGAGCAGGAGCATTGTCCATCAGAAGCAAAGCCTTCAGCGGCAGGTCATTGTCCAGCAGGTACTGTTTGACAGCAGGGCCAAAAGCAAGATTGACCCAGTCCACAAACAGCACACGTGTGACCCAAGCCTTACTGTTGGATCGCCACATGACACTCAGCTGCTCCTTGTCGACCTTGTGTTTCTTGAAGGCCCGTGGGTTCTCCGAGTGGTACACCAGCAGGGGCTTGATCTTCAGGTCGCCACTTCCGTTGGCACAGAAGAGCAGGGTCAAACGGTCCTTCATAGGCTTGTGGCCAGGCAACTTGGCCTCCTCCTGTGTGATGAAAGTCCTTTTGGGCATCCTCTTCCAAAACAGCCCGGTCTCGTCGCAGTTGAAGACCTGCTGTGGAAAGTAGCCCTCCGTCTTCACAACCTCCAGGAACTCCGCTGCAAAGTCTCCAGCTGCAGAAACATCAGAACTGGCAGCCTCTCCATGCCTGACCACGTTGTGGATTCCAGATCTTGTCTTGAACCGGTCAAACCAACCTCTGCTTGCCTTGAAGACTTCTGGCTCGCCTGAGGTTCCTGGCTGTTCCCAGACGAGGTCTGTGTGCAAGGCCTTGGCCTTCTCACAAATGACGGCCTCAGTCACTGTGTCCCCTGCACGCTGCTTCTCTTCTAACCAGATGAGCAGCAACTTCTCCACCTCCTCCAGAACAGCTGGGCAGTTCTTCACGATCCTGGTGACTCCCTTGGCTGCATCAGTTGCAAGGATCTTCTCCCTCATCTTCAGGATGGTCCCGATGGTCGATGGATTCCTCCCGTACTCCCTGGCAAGGTCTGTCACACTCATTCCACCATCGTGCTTCCGGATGATCTCCTTCTTCATTTCCAGCGTAACCTTCGCCTTCTTCCCCTCGCCGGCCTCTGCAGCAGCAGTCTTCTTGGGTCCCATGGCAGCACAGCTCCTACCTTCGTAACCCCCCCCCCAAAAAAATCAGTGCTTCACATCCAAAAAATTCAAAAGCACCCAGCCACCCACCACACAGAAATTCAAACCCAGAACCAAGTCCTTGAATTCCAAACACCCCAACCCAAAATCCAAAACCCCCCAAAAAAACTTTTTAAAAGTTTAACTTACCGAATGGCTGCAAAAGAAGTTTTGGAAAAGCTTCAAAAATCACCAAAGTCTTCAAAAACCTCAACTATTCCCCCAGCCACCCACCACACAGAAATTGCAAACCCCTCCCCAACTGTTCCCCCAGCCACCCACCACACAGAAATTCAAATCCAGAATTTTTTAAAAAAAAACAGCAGAGTGGCCCAATGGTCACAGAAAATCATAAAAATGCAGGAAAAAACCACACAAGCTTCCAGATTCTTGCAAACCCCTCCCCAACACCAAGTCCTTGAATTCCAAACACCCCAATCCAAAAACCCCAAAAAAAGTTTTAAAAGTTTAACTTACCAAATGGCTGCAAAAGAAGTTTTGGAAAAGCTTCAAAAATCCCCAAAGTCTTCAAAAACCTCAAAAAAGGCTACCACACTGCGTGCTATGAGTTGCTCCTCGAAGTCAAGTCGCAACTGCACCTCTTCAAGCAATGCACCCTGGGTATTAACAGTTTTAAGAAAAAAGGAAACAAACTTGCAAGACGTTTTCGTCTTGCGAAGCAAGCCCATATGGAAATTCGTCTTGCGAAGCAGCTCAAAAACCGCGAAACCCTTTCGTCTAGCGAGTTTTTCGTCTTGCGAGGCATTCATCTTGCGGGGCACCACTGTATCTCCTTGGCTTGGTGGGGGGTCGCATAACTCCATACCCTCTGATGAAAATAGGGACATCCCACCATACCCTCCAACGTTTATCTGATGAAATGGGACATCCTAAGAAAAAGGAGGACTACAACCCACATCATGTCTGACCCCCACTGGTCATGCTAGTTGGGACTGGTGGGAGTTGGTGCCCAACAACATTTTGGAGGTGCACATGTACCCTGCCTTTGGCTTAAAGGCAGTCTTTGTTCCAAGGTACAGAAATGTTGCTAAGATGGAAGAGTGTTAACTGACATGTTTTGGTGCCTGCTGTGTAATTATCCAATATATTTTGCATTTTATTCTAATGATAGATGATAGATAGATAGATGATAGATAGATAGATATAGATAGATGATAGATAGATGATAGATAGATAGATAGATAGATAGATAGATAGATAGATAGATAGATAGATGATAGATAGATAGGTGATAGATAGATAGATAGATGATAGATAGATAGATAGATAGATAGATAGATAGATAGATAGATAGATGATAGATAGATAGATGATAGATAGATAGATAGATAGATAGATAGATAGATGATAGATAGATAGATAGATAGATAGATAGATAGATGATAGATAGATAGATAGATAGATAGATAGATAGATAGATAGATAGATGATAGATGGATGATAGATAGATGATAGATAGATAGATAGATAGATAGATAGATAGATAGATAGATAGATAGATAGAGATAGATGATAGATAGATGATAGATAGATAGATAGATGATAGATAGATGATAGATAGATAGATAGATAGATAGATAGATAGATAGATGATAGATAGATAGATAGATAGATAGATAGATAGATAGATAGATGATAGACAGACAATATCACTGGGGAGGGAGAGAGAACACACAAAAGCCAGCCAAGCAACTAAACCCGCTGTTCATCTTCCTGACAGTCCAAGCTGGAACGTAAATACTTTGGGTGAGTAATACTTTCTCAGAGCGACGGGGCTTGGCCATCACTCATTCATGAAACCCACACAGGCTGCAGCTCTAGCTTTCCGCAAGATGTGGCGGAGGCAACTTGTGTGAAATGGAGAAATCTCATTTGGCAAATCTATTTCGGTGGGGGAGGGGGTGCAGCGTAATGCCTGTATGGAGGAAAGAAGCTTAAAGGTTGTGTCTTAGTTCCATGCCAGGTGATACTCATGGATCTCCACAGAGGCAGTGGAGAGGCCAGCTAAAACCTTGTGTTGGTCAGCTCAAGAGGCTTTGCATGCAAAACGGGTGCCAGGTTCAATCCCAGCAACTCCAGGAAGGGTTGGGGATGAAATTCTATTTTGTTTCCAATATAATTTGCAGTTCTCATACCGATAGCTGAAGTGAAACACAGCCATTCTTCAAAATTCTCACTTCTCCAAATAGTGTGATGCAGTTCTCCGACATAGGGAAAAGGTGCATAAAAATCATCAAGTAGCGTTAAAAATGCAATGTATCAGGGAAAATTGCCTCCAAAAAGACATTTATTACTCAAAACTGCATACAAAAACTTGTTCTCTAGGAGAAATTTACACAAAACTCTTGATGGATTTCTGCAAGTATTTAAACGGCAAACTCCTGCAGAAATGTGGGGAACTGAATTTAAGATGGGAATGCTGAGATACAGAGAAACCAAAATTGTGTTCCTGTGAGGAGGGTTTGATTGTTAAACCACTCTTGGGATTGCAACTCTGTCAGACGAACCGGGGACCTTCTAGCAACTCTCAGCGCCCTTAACAAACTACAGCTCCCAGAATCCTTTGAGAAGCCATGACTGTTTAAAGTGATATAATACCTGTGTGAATGTGGCCATAGTTGCTTTCAGATGGGCTCCATCACATCCCAAGGGAGCCCAAATGAGCTGTATGACTCTTCTGTCAGGCAGATTTTGCTATGGGCAGAATTCTGTAGAGCCATCTGTGTGAGATTTTAAGGATCCCTTGTAGCAAGCATCATGTGTTTTTAATGGCCTAAGGAAAGATCACTATCTCCACCTGAGAAAAGAGAGAGGAAAGAAAGCCCTTTGTGTTCTGTTTTCCGGAGACATCAGTGGCTCACACATTCTGAGTAAACTTTCTACCAAATCCTCCTTGGCGCAGGCTTCTCAGAAACAAAGGCATGCCAGCCACAGCAGGTGCACACATGAAAGGCCCCTCCTGAAGAGAACTAGAAAGGCTATCAGCTCATCCTGCCCCTTTAATGTCTCTTCCTCTCTCCCAATGCATGTTATGCTGTTGTTTGCCTTCATCTCTCTGCCCACCTGCCTCACACAATGCACCTCACGGAGGCTTCTGGTTCGTCGAGGTGGAGAGAAATCGCTGAGACACATAGAGCTCATTGCGACCATCCAGTCTGGAGGTTACCCAGAGCATGGAGTACAGAGGTTGAGTCGTTTCTGTCCAAAAGGGGGTAGAAAGCTGTGAAAGGTGCCTTGGGGTCCAGATATTATTATTATTATTATTATTATTATTATTATTTATACCCCGCCCATCTGGCTGGGTTTCCCCAGCCCCTCTGGGCGGCTTCCAACAAAACACTAAAATACAATAACCCATTAAACATTAAAAGCTTCCCTAAACAGGGCTGCCTTCAGCTGTCTGGGCTGGGTCATCATCTCTGGACTGGCCCCTTTCAGATTGGGGTCCTTCCAAAGGGCCAGGTCACCCAGTTCAATATCCTGCTTGGTGCAGGATCTGCAATGCAGGATACAGCTGCAGCATCCCTGAGATATCAGTCTAGCCTCTTTAAACATCTCCAGGAAAGTAGAACCCACCACCTCCCGAGGCAGTTGGTTCTACTTTCATGCACCTTTTGACATTGGGATGTTCCATACAATGTTTACCTGCACTCTGCTTCCTTGTAGTTTGCCCCCATTGGCTCGGGAAGGGCCATAGCTCAGGGGTGTGGCATATGCTTTGCATGCAGAAGGTCCTAGGTTCAATCCCTAGCATCGCCAGGCAGACCTGGGAGAGACCACCTGCCTGAAATTGTCAGTGAAAACAAATATGAGCTAGATAGATCAATGCTCTGACTCCCTATGTTCTAGTCTTGCCCTCCTATACAACAAACTACAAGTGTACTCTGTCATTTGCGTGAGACCCCTCCGAATATTTGAAGACTACAGTTTTCTCTCCTTTTGAAAACTATCAACAAACTCTAGACTCTGAATCATCCTTATTTGTGTGACTAGGCGCAACAGCCCCAGCCCCCAAGGAACGGGGGAAAGGAAATAAAGACTCTGACAACATTATGAAATTAAAATTAGGCCACAACTTTATTAAACTTCTGAATGTAGGAAGACCTTGGCTTAGGCCTTGGACATGTATCCCTCCCAGCCCCCCAGCCGGGGAACTGGGACGTAAGTGTAGGCAGGCAGGCCAGCCCATATCCCCACACGCAGGGTAGTTCACAGTCAATCTTTCAGTGTATGACCAGTGGCAGCCATTTATGTAACCCCTTTAAGAGGGGACCCTGGAATCGCCGCCACAGGGGGGTGAGTCATCGCTTCACCACCACCCCCGTTATAGGGAAGAAAAGACTAAAGGATTCCACCCAAGGCCATAACCGCCAAAGTTGTGATGAATTGATACGGGGAAGACAAAACCTGCCAATGCAGGAAAATTTCTTCCCGGTCCTTCAACAGCAACCAGTCAAAGACCGTAGGAGCACCCGCTAAACAGGAAGAAAAAGCTAACCTGTAAACAAGAAACATTAACAAAGAGAGGGTAGGGAGGGTGAATCTCCAGAGCAATCTGCCTGGCTAATACCGGCTCCTCCCCCTATTTGTAATGGCCCCACTTCCCAGGAAATGAAACTTAAAGCTGAGGCTGGGCGTGAACCTCTGAATAATACACAGAGAAGCAGGCCAGCCCCCTTCTACTAGCAAGTTCCCTGGGAACTGTAGCACCGCACACGATCCCGCAAAAAGCACCCACAATATAGTGTGAGTGCTCATTCTTCATAGCTTCAGGATCTCTCCATTAAAGTTTGCTTCAGCCATCTGCTGGCTCCCTCTTTTGCTGTGTCCAATTAACATCTCTTCTGTGATGCACCTCTTATCGTTTTATGGATCAATGGCCATCCAGCTGAGAAGACCAGTATAGGCCAGTGGTCCCACATTGGTCTCAGAGAATAGGAAGAGGAAGAGAGTTAACAGAAAACCACCCCAATCTAGCAAGTGAGAGCTGTAAGCAGAAGCAGACTTCTGGGAATGCAGTCCAATGCAAATACACTTTGGATCCACGTTCATCCAGTCCCAACAAGGTGAATCTTTGGGTGCGGACAAGGATGTGCCACCCACTTTCTAGGGCCTTGGATGGAAACAGCTTTGTATTCATCCCTCATTTTGCCACAGCTCTTGGCTACAAAAAATAAAATCGCCTGCATCTGTTTTGAAAGTTGTGCTTTGAGGGAAAATACATTAAGGAACACATCTTGAGACAAAATAGTCTGAGGTACACATTTAAATGCAAATGACGGCCAGGATTATTTTGTAATTGCAGATTGGTGCTGAAATGGGATGGACTAGACATATGGGTGAACACATGTAAAAGGGATCAGTACTGGAAATTGACAAATTCACCAAGCAAATTAGGTTCCAGCGGTGTCCAAACTTTTTTCAAAGAGGGCCAGATTTGATGAAGTGAAGGGCCGTGAGGGCTGACCAAAGGGCCAACCGAAGTTGT